TGAACTCCCCATCGATGGCGAGCTGTACGATGATAAAAAGTGGCCGTGGGCATCATATTGAACAATTTCTTTGAGCACAATCCGTTATACAAGCGGTAAAACATGAAAAGTGAGGCAATATATAGGTTATTGTTAAATTATCAAAAGTAATTTAACATTTTTCAATGTTTGTGATTGATTATTTATTTAAAAAGTGCTCGGTTTAGAAATTAAAATGTTAATCGCAGAATTTTCGTTTGCTATATTGCAACGTTGTATATAAATTAATATTTGATAATAGGTACTTGTAATTATTTTCCTTAATGTTTTACTTTCTTAATTATACAATATTATCATACCTACTTGTAAAACAATTAGTTCATTGCCCTAAAGTTGTCTAGAAAGATTTCTTTTAACAATTATATACAACTTTATCACTACATTTATTGTCTTGCTTATTTTCTATATTCAAATATTTTCTATATAAATGCAAATAAAGTGTACTTATTCATTTATTCAACCATTAAAATCTTGTACTATTCAAATCTTTGTATCTACTTCACATTATTTAAATATATTTTTGCCATTAAAAATTCAGATTTTCAGTGACAGCTTAATAAAAATATTATTGCAAAATTACTCGTAACGTTTTAACTCGTAGACACAGCGCTTTTTAAATAATCAATCAGAAATATAAAAAAAAAAAAACACTTCAATAGTTTTTTAAAAAGTAACAGATAGTTACGAAGTTGTCACTCTTGCTTAAGAACGCTCTTAATATCATAGAAAACATTCTAAAAGCGATGATACTCTCTTGTCATTCCTGTTTTTTTATACGACTATGGTGTGAAACAAGCATATGGCCTGTCTTATGGTAAAGGGGGTGAACGAAGCTTATGGACGCCTATAACACCAGGGATGTCAGACGCGCGTTGCCGACCCTAAAGAAACCATAAAACACCCTTTTTCAAGAACCCCATGCTGTAATCTCTAGGGAAAGCCTCGGCAGGAAAATCATATCACAACCTGAGTGTTCACGACAGGAAGCTCCTATGAAATAAACTGACAACTAAAATATTACGCCACCCAGAATTTTCACTACAATATCACATCCTTTAGTGTAACAATTGCTTGTAGCTTGTAGTAGGTGACTTTTAAAGTACATTAAAAATATAAGCCTTAACATACAGGTGAATGGACCGATGATGTCTCAACATAAGAGTTCTTTTGTACAAAATTGGTATGGAACCCTAAAAATAATTACAACAAGTTCTGTATGTAAATAGATATTTTTTATTTACGGAATACGCAGATCCAATCAAAGGAGATTTTACTCGTATATAACTTGGAACACATTAATTCAAAATAAATAAAGTATTAATTGTTTTTTCAATATTTGTTTACAACTTTACAGTTCTTCTGTATAAACATTATTCGAACATGTTATTTTTTATGACGCCATCCCGTCACAACCAATCACAAGATTTATCGACAATAAAATTAACTAGAATAACTTTTAACTGCCCTAAACGTTAACAGAACAGTCGTTAAGATATGACAGGGCTGTTCTGGCGATACGGGCATAGCTAATGATGTCTTATTGTTTCAAAATCTTGGAAGCCAGTACAATTTACCTATCCTAGCCTAATAATGAAATACTACGTTCGTGATTCATTGTTCGACTCGTAGAGAACGCTACTAGTATAGTATCAAGTCGATCTCCCTGCAAACCCCCTTGGAAATCATCATGCTGAATTCCAAATGCATTCATCAGGATGGGCTAATTGCAGGTCAATTCATTCAATCTTACATATCTATCATCCGTCACTAGCGCTCCGCCAGCGATTACCGTTAGCACAGGCGGAGTTACCATTCTATTATCATCTATTAAAAAAATCATGGTTAACTATTCGTTTTGCTAATCTACATTATACTCGGTGTTGTGGCACATAGTATAATGTTTATAATTATATCAGCCGTTAACTGTCCACTGCTGAACATAGGCTTCCCCTATAAGGGGGGGTTTGCCAGTAGTTACCACGCTGGGTGGGTGGCTTGGCAACCGCAATTAGGCTTTAATGATATTTTACTAGGAACGCTGCTGCCCATCCCTCAACCATACCTAAGTTCCCATAATACTTAGTCGCCTCTTACGACACCCACGAGAAAAGAAGGGCCTATTCTATACCGGGACCTACACGGCAATATAGTATAAATTTATATGTATATTGAAGTTACCAAATTATATAATATAATACTTTTTGGTCTAGTTTCTTTATACGTTCACCAGTGGACAATTAACAGTTCAGATGATGATGATAATCCAAAATTACATATTTATGCTATTAGTAAGACTTTGTGCATACCTTAAGATAATGATATTCCAGAATCAACCCCAATTATATATATTATAGGTCTTTCCGATGCCTGGCTCCACTATAGAGTTACACAATTTATTTACGATATGCGTTTACATGATCATACATAGATATGAACTCAAACTACATAATTATAAACCGCCAGTGAAATTATTATATTATATACCTACATAGCTTCATTATCAGTTACGTTCGTCATCAAATTACAACAATATATACTTGATAAATTAATATATAATGCACATATTAAAGTCAAACAAGATTCTAGTTAATTCTCAAATTTGACAAGAAATCTAAATTAATGTAAACATTGAGAAGCGATATATATTTTTAACAACGTATGAGGGGTACCATGGGTATCACAGAGTACTCTGTGGCATTCATAATGCTCTTTATGTAGATACAGGCAAGACGGTCACTACTTTCCATTATGTGGGCCGTCAGCGTGCTTGCCACTCTGTTTTATAAAAATATAAAATAACAAAATTAGCAAATTTTTTATTATGATTTTATTTTAGCCAGCGACTTTGCCCACGTGAATCAGAAAAATAAAGAATAACCTAGTAACCTTAATATAATTTAATATCATAGTTTTTAATCTAATTACTTGCAACACTGAAAAAATGGTACGTTTTGTTTTCATTTAAAAAACTGTCAAATTGAGTCCGCCAAATGTCATTTTAGCTAACTAAAAATTAATTATCGAAATCTACTCCGAGAACTGCGAAGTTAATACGGGAATAAAACAGGTATAAATAAATTAATAAGGTGTAATTCTCTGTAACAATTGAACTGTTTACTATCTTAAGATTACTCGCAAAAAATATATTTAAAAAGTTAATGACTAACAAAAACAGAAGAGAATGCACGATTCAGTGTCGTGGAACCAGTGAGTGAAAGGTACTTCATGGAGCGAATTCAAATGAATGGAAGGTTGGTTTACTGATTAAATTAGCCATATCCTTAGAGAGATTTCCTATGTCGCCATTAGTACCACTTTAGGAAAGAGAAACGCAAATAGAAACAGTTAAATGTATCAAATTATAAGTATATATTGCAGGTAGAAAATTTTTTTTTTTGTAATTTAAATCAATTACTCGCTTATTATTAGCTATAAAAACAGAATAAAAATATCATCTATAAAAATAGAATCCTTACTGTTTATAACATTATTTTAGATATGTATACTTAACTTATATTAATCAAGTAGGTGTACGTAGATTTGTATGAAATAAATTATTTATTTTTACACGATACAATAAGTACACAAATCTAATTTTTTTTAACGTTTCTTATATTTTTCGACCTTGATAATGCCCGCCACATTTATACACTGCCTTACCATTTAACGATCGCGATTCGATTCCTGTACAATACAATATCCTGAGTATGTTTGTTTGTTTTGATCTAAGAGTCAGAGAATCAATTTAAATACGTCTGACACTGATAGACATATTTATATAACTAAATCCTTTTGTAAACAGTTTTTATTTTCACTTAACAGAGCTTGAACAAGGTAATATACAATTGTCTACTTACTGACTCTGTTTAGTTTAACACTAGATACGAGGTCTGTCCGGAAAGTTCGTATAAAAGTGTTCTGGAATGCGAGAAAGAGGAGTGGGGAGGCCAGGTAAGCGCAGGACCCCTTCCTTATGTCCCTAACAATTTCAGTTCTGGTCTGATGCGAACTGGCTTGTCACGCCATCTGTGAAGTTACCTCTTAACGAAACCCCGTCGGCATGGAGCCCGCTTCCGTTGAAGAGCAGCGCGTCGTAATCAAGTTTCTCTCGAAACTCGGCAAGAACGTGAAATTTTTGCCGATCTCAGAACAGTTTATGGGGATGATGCTGTGAAGGAACCAACCGTCCACAAGTGGCTAAAAAGATTCAGAGAGGGCCGAGAAAGCGTTCAAGATGACCCACGTTCAGGACGTCCTTCCACTTCACATTCCGACGAAAACGTGGAAAGAATTCGAACTTGTGTTAAAGGGGACCGTCGTTTAACGGTCAGACAGGTGGCTGAAGAGCTTAATTTGGGCAAAACCGTGGTCCACGAAATTCTAAGAAACGAACTTCAAATGAAAAAAATTTGCGCCAAGATCGTTCCGTGAGTTTTTGAGTAAAAATTCCATTACGGTGAACGAACACCCCCCCTATAAGCCGGATTTGGCCCCGTGTGACTTCTTCTTGTTCCCAAAAACCAAAATGGTACTTCGGGGGAGGCATTTGGGTGACATAAATGAGATAAAAAAAGATACGACGGGGCAGCTGAGAAACCTACAACCAGAGGACTTTAAAGGAGCCTTCTCACAGTGGAAACGGCGTTGGAACAAGTGCATTATGTCACAGGGGGAGTACTTTGAAGGGGATAAAATTGATTTACCTGAATAATTGTAAAATAAAATTTTTAAAAAACTTTTATACGTACTTTCCGGACAAACCTCGTACTTGTGTAGCGCAGTGGGTATTTTTATTTATATATATTTTTATACCACTGAGGTGGCAAACAAGCATACGGCCCACCTGATAGTAAGCGGTTCACGTAGCCTATGAACGCCTGCAATACCAGGACGCGCGCGTCACCATCCCTGAAGAAACCTCTTTACCTCTTTTTTGAAGAACTCTATTGTTATTTATTTACCTTATTATCTTTTTGCCAAGAGCAAACGCCTTTTTTGTCCGATATTCTACACTTGAGCAAAGCATCTTCACCCGGGTTGACTTCTGTATACGTTGGCATCTCCACAAATCGCTGTATCGCATCTGAAAGAAAAGCAAATAAATTAATTAGTAAAGTCAATATATTATTACACGTCATATGGGAATCAATTATGTAAAGAAAAGAGAAAGATAGTCGGCCGCAAGTTTATAAATGTTACAGACACAGAGATAATAGCATAGGGCATATACTCGTACCGTCAAATCCCTGTTAATATTTATAAAAAACTAAACTTACATATTTAGTATTCAAGTATTTTGGTATTTATTGTAAAAAGAATCTTGATTCTAATTCGAGTACTCAAAGAAATACTTGAGTACTTATATGCATATTCAAGTACTTTATCAAACTCCATTAATTTTTCAACTAATTTGTGAAGCTTACTTTAAAGTATTGTAATTTTCTAATCATTTCGTCATTTTTCCTTTATTAAGAAATAAATTAATAAAGCATAAAAATAGAAACGTAAAAAAATTACGATAAACACGCGTTTAGTATTCGTGTCCCGCAAGTACTGTATTCTAGTAACGAGTATCCGAATTCCGTCAATTAAATACTCGATAATAAATATGGGTGAAAATGGAATGGGAATCCCGCTCGCATTACTTGTATACGTTGGCGGGGCACTAGTGAGAGATGAAAGGTGAGAATGAAAAACGTCAATTAGCTCATTGTGAAGAATTCCAGAAGAATTAACTACAATGGTTTAAAAGGTAAACTGCGAAGTCCATCTTATAGGATATATTGCTAACAATAAGACTGTTCAATCATATTACTAACAATCGCTTTCTCCTTTAAGTACTTGATTACTTATATACCTTTTAGGTATTCGAGTTATTATTCGAGTTAGCCTAACTCAGCACATCACTATTTTTCCCTTGATAGTCAGCCGAAATATAAAATGTACATATTTTTAACATTTTAGGTAAAATCGAGATTTTTATGAAAAATTCAAAATTTATCTACATATTTCGACTTTGTCCCTTGGGGTAAGTTATTTATTGGATTGGATAATATTGTCACTACATTTCGGCTTAGTATACCCATTACGACTAATTCCACATATTGATTCAATTATAAATCTGATTTCATGAGGTTCCAATGCTTTTAGTTTCGTAAACGAACCGTCTGCGTCGATTACACTGGTGACAGGAGCTATGATTAGGCCGCCATAAAAGGTCGCCATATTCCTTACTCAAGGAATAAACATACCCATTAAACTTGGGTAAATTATATATATATTAACAACTTAGAAACACTTCTCTACACGAATCTAACTATATATACCAAATATTTTTTATTTTTATATAAGTAGGTACCTATCTTTAATTATTTGTTTATAAAACACAGTTTAAAAGGAAGAAGGTATTATAAATTCTAGGCTATTATTTTAAAAACATGTGAGTGATCTAAACCACATGATGTATTATTTACATATGCGGTTTTTTCTGTCATTCAAGATAATAATAGAAACAAACAATTTACAATACCTATTTCTTTAAACAAATATAGTTCTCGGCCCGGCGATGGAGGGTTTTTATTCAATTTAAAAATAATTAGGGAACACAGAGTAGATACTTATACTTCAGAGCAATAAAGCCATTTTTAAGGGACAAAAAAAAACTATATCCCAAAACGGTATAGTTCAATTAACTTCGTTCATATAAAATAAACCTGGCCATTTCGAGTCGGAGAACGTTAATCACTGTGATCAGGCCAAATGAGCTTTTAAACTGTCAAATTAAAACCAACAAAGTTTTTATAGTCCCATCAAAGTGCAGTACATCACGATCTGATTCGAAAAGCGTCTATTTACGGAATCCATACAACGGAAAGTGAGATCAATTTTATATTTTATCGACATTGCAATGAGGAACCCAAACCTTCTGGATGCAATTAACGTAACTTCAAAGAGATTACACATTACACACATGAAAGGATTTAAGGGCAATATACTCGATGTTGGCGGTTTCCGGAACAGTATTCAATTCCGATATACCATCTGTATAGATAGAGGGGACCACTAATTTTGCCTTAAACGTACCTAAGTAATTAATCTTACTAATATGTATATATATATATATATGTAACGTTATGTATATAGGGTTAGTTAGTAACGGTACACTAAGTTGAAATCCAGTGATAGTATTCATGAAACTTAACAACTTGCTGAACTTTTAATACAAACTGTGCGATTTGATAGGATTCAAAATCCTAAGGAAAAAATTGTTCCGTTTCTCTCTCTTCAATTTTCTCTCTTTCTTTGTCTTGATGACATATATATTCTAAAACTCATATTTTTTAATACAAGTACATTTTGCTTCACAAAATAATATTTCAATAATAAATACTCTTTGAAATTTGTTTATAAATTTGATAGACATTATAATTTACGAGACTAGATACTAATAAATATGATTTAGCGAAAATGTTTGTTATTAAATTAGCCGTTTGAGACTGAATATATTATTGAATCTGTACCCCAAATTTCGTTTAAATATGTTCCATTTAAAATCTATAAGGATAATTATTTTAATGATATAAAATACTGAGTATAACACATTGAAACAAAATCCATTCGAGTGAGAGTTTATTGAATGATTAACCTTCAATTATATAATGTGTATTACGTTTCAAAACAAAAAAGGACTAATCTAAAAATAATAAAATATTTGGATGAGATCGCCACGTTAATAAACCTTTAAAAAAAATGGTCAAATTAACGAAGACGTCACATTACGTATACGAGTACACAAAAGGCTGTCATTATAAGTACCTCTCCATTCTCAGCCGACTTCAAAAAGTAGTTTCTTAATTCAACTGCAATTCTTATTATGCAACATATTTATTTTAACAAAACGAAACGTACAAAAGCTTTAGATCTCTCTGGTCTGATATCAAAGAAATGAAATGAATTGTTACCTTTTAGTTACGGTTTTGTGAAAGCGTTTAGCGGTTACTGTGCATTATGATTTTTGAATGATTATTGGTTAACTCTTCATCGCTTCTCCATAATTATAGACCTGATAAGATATTATTACCTGGAGGTTGGTAAGTTGTTGGAAAAATTATACAAAATTGATTTTGGTAGAAAATATACAGTTTCATTTAAAAGTATCAATTAAATTTGTTCAATACAGTTATAGTAAACCATATTTACAAAACCGTAGTATCATAAAAATAATAACGGTGAGATATGTAGACTTATACATATGTGTCTATGTTACATATGGGCGTCACAGTATAGTATGTTCTATGATGTGCTGTTTCCATCATGTTGTCATCATTTTCCAAAAGATGAATCATCGGCTGGTTTGCCGTTCTAAGTTTCATAAGACAATAAAAAAAACGGATTTATTTTTTCATCAGTCTGTAACAAATAAGAAACGCAATTGTGTAACATTAACTCAAGAGAAATGTAGTCAAACGAACTGTTTTCAATGACTTCATCCGCGTGAATCAATATATAAATCCCCTATCTATTGAGTCTGTATATAATTTATCCGTTTAACAAATTTCATTCAAATTCATTCAGCTGTTGAAGCGTGAAAGGGTAATAAATATCTATCCATATATACTTGTACATTCTCACAAACTTTTGCATTTGTTTCTAGCAATAAGTAGTAAGTACGTTTTCCAAAAAAAAAGACATAATAGAGGAGTTTTAAAGTCGATTGAAAATATATACGCAGCAGACACCGCTTGAAGTGTCTAAAGTGTCTCCAATAGAATGCCAGTTGCCTAATTAACGTATAATTAAGCAACTGGAATTCAACGTTTGTATAAAATGTAATTGCAATTCGTAACATTTGCCTCATTCGGTGCAGTATGCGAAGCAAGCAACGCCAAGCGGCGGCGGCCCGGGCGCTAGGCGTGAAGATGCGCCGATAAGAATGTTTATGTGTTATACCTACACAAACACACTAACAATCTGTTCCAACTAACACTCCGCATGGGTAAACTGCAGTTTTCTAAACAGTACAATGTGAATCTCGTTTGGAAAACTCTTGAATGCTCTATCGTTGATTTGAACGTTTTAAAAAATGTTCGAATCGACGTTTTTAAAATACTTTCTGAAAGCGGATATTCTCGTTTTACCTATTTTTTTTTTATTTATCGTCAGTATATTCACTAATTCTAAGCCGATTTTTATAATTATTTTTGTTATCCACACGTTTTTCTCTCGTTATCCCCACTGTTCCGTCTGTAAGCTATCCAATCAGTGGTTAATTTCTAACGATTTCGTCACGATGGACCAACTAATCCTCACCTATCATCCCCCACTGGTGCCCTACCAGTATATACCGCTAGCGCAAGTGAGATTACTATTCCGTTTTAATTCATTGAACATTACACCACAACGTTCAGAAAATGAAGATGATGTGCCAGTTAAGGCATCGGCTTGTCTTTAGTAGATACCAAGCATAACTCATAAATATGTCTAGTAAAATTACTTCCAGGCAAGTCAGCATTGGCCGACTAGACTGTGAACTTTTAAAACAAATTTTATATGTTGCCATTAAAGTTTTTCAATTTTACTTTCTTGAACACTGAATCAATTTAGTGCTGGCGAATTGACAAAAAAGCATTGACTCTTGTCACTGTATCCGTGAAATTAAATTCTCTTTAGGCGTATCATTTCAATACTTCATGAATGCATACAATAGAGCTGATTTTAACCTATATGACGGTGCTACGGCACCGTTCCGCTCAGATAATTGCCTAAAATCACACACACGCTTGCTAATGTCGAATAAAAACAAGTAATGCACAATGAAAACTAACAAGCAGTTGCAAAACTAAAACTAGACTTTACGGTTAAGAACTCTGCTTGCACAATCTATTGTAATTTTTAAAGATATTTACATAATCATATTAGGTACTTATACCTGCTTACTGACTGGGTTATTCGTGCACGACTGTCAACCTCACTCATTGCTGGAGAACAGGACTCCAGAATTGTCGAAGTAATCACGGTTCATAATCAAACTAATTGAGAATTTTGTAAATTTTGGATTTTCTAATGTAATTTTTAACGCATTTT